TCTATCTGTGATAGTGACAGTGTCTACCTGTGATAATGACAGTGTCTACCTGTGATAGTGACAGTGTCTACCTGTGATAGTGACAGTGTCTACCTGTGATAGTGACAGTGTCTACCTGTGATAGTGACAGTGTCTACCTGTGATAGTGACAGTGTCTGCCTGTGACAGTGTCTACCTGTGATAGTGACAGTGTCTGCCTGTGACAGTATCTACCTGTGACAGTGTCTGCCTGTGACAGTGTCTACCTGTGATAGTGACAGTGTCTACCTGTGATAGTGTCTACCTGTGACAGTGTCTACCTGTGATAGTGACAGTGTCTACCTGTGATAGTGACAGTGTCTACCTGTGATAGTGACAGTGTCTACCTGTGATAGTGACAGTGTCTACCTGTGATAGTGACAGTGTCTACCTGTGATAGTGACAGTGCCAACCTGTGATAGTGACAGTGTCTACCTGTGATAGTGACAGTGTCTACCTGTGATAGTGACAGTGCCAACCTGTGATAGTGACAGTGTCTACCTGTGATAGTGACAGTGTCTACCTGTGATAATGACAGTGTCTACCTGTGACAGTGTCTACCTGTGATAATGACAGTGTCTACCTGTGATAATGACAGTGTCTACCTGTGACAGTGTCTACCTGTGATAATGACAGTGTCTACCTGTGATAATGACAGTGTCTACCTGTGACAGTGTCTACCTGTGACAGTGTCTATCTGTGATAATGACAGTGTCTACCTGTGATAGTGACAGTGTCTACCTGTGACAGTTTTTTACCTGTGACAGTGTCTACACCAGCGTCCTAGCATACAAACTGACCACAAATAGAAAACAAACGAGTTTTGAATATGTACCAATTTAATATAACTGTAATAGATTTATTACAGAGGTTTAGATCAGTCTACCAAGACAGGTGGTATATGTACAATTCTAGACTTGTAAGCCACAACACAGGCAATAAATAACATCTTTGGCTTCTACGTCAAGGTACAGGGGGAAGGGAGCTTACTTTAGCTTCTACGTCAAGGTACAGGGGGAAGAGAGCTTACTTTAGCTCCTACGTCACGGTACAGGGGGGAGAGAGCTTACTTTAGCTTCTACGTCACGGTACAGGGGGAGGGGAGCTTACTTTAGCTTCTACGTCACGGTACAGGGGAAAGAGAGCTTACTTTAGCTTCTACGTCAAGGTACAGGGGGAAGGGAGCTTACTTTAGCTCCTACGTCACGGTACAGGGGGGAGAGAGCTTACTTTAGCTTCTACGTCACGGTACAGGGGGAGGGGAGCTTACTTTAGCTTCTACGTCACGGTACAGGGGAAAGAGAGCTTACTTTAGCTTCTACGTCAAGGTACAGGGGGAAGGGAGCTTACTTTAGCTTCTACGTCACGGTACAGGGGAAAGAGAGCTTACTTTAGCTTCTACGTCACGGTACAGGGGGAAGGGAGCTTACTTTAGCTTCTACGTCAAGGTACAGGGGGAAGGGAGCTTACTTTAGCTTCTACGTCACGGTACAGGGGGAAGGGAGCTTACTTTAGCTTCTACGTCACGGTACAGGGGGAAGGGAGCTTACTTTAGCTTCTACGTCACGGTACAGGGGAAAGGGAGCTTACTTTAGCTTCGGAACAGTGCATTATACATCTTGTCCTTGCAAAATACGAAAGGTGGTGCATCATACAGTACCCAGTTGATGCACTATACAGTACCCAGTTGGTGCACCATAAAGAACCAGTTGTGCACCATAAGTAGCCAGTTAGTGCACTATAAGGAGCCAGTTGGTGCGTCATAAGGAGCCAGTTGTGTACCATAAGGAGCCAGTTGTGTACCATAAGGAGCCAGTTGGTGCACTATAAAGAGCCAGTTAGTGCACTATAAAGAGCCAGTTAGTGCACTTGACCAAACTTGAGATGTTTACAACAAAACTCGCTCTGTGAAGCATGTATTGTCGAAAGACTGCATAAATTATGTTAATGTCAGCACTAGACGTCACTTGGCCATTACATAACGGTCGTTCAGCTTGGGTCGACGTCTTAAATTGGGTCAGATGAAGCGGGTTGGTTGAATGAGTGGCTCACGTGACAAGGTTGGTCAATGACGTCATGTGTGACATCCACTTCTACCTGCGTAAATCAGAAAATAGTGGGGGGAGGGGGGGTGAGGTCTGCTAGAGGGGTCAGGTCTGCTAGAGGGGTCAGGTCTGGTAGAGGGGTCAGGTCTGGTAGAGGGGTCAGGTCTGCTAGAGGGGTCAGGTCTGCTAGAGGGGTCAGGTTTTACCCATTAACTTGTCGACCAACGGGAGAGTCCCACATAATCTTTAGTTGACCTTACATTAACACATGTTACTGGCTACAGGCTGGCTACCATTGGCTACAGGCTGGCTACCAGTGGCTACAGGCTGGCTACCATTGGCTACAGGCTGGCTACCATTGGCTACAGGCTGGCTACCATTGGCTACAGGCTGGCTACCAGTGGCTACAGGCTGGCTACCAGTGGCTACCAGTGGCTACAGGCTGGCTACCAGTGGCTACAGGCTGGCTACCAGTGGCTACAGGCTGGCTACCAGTGGCTACAGGCTGGCTACCAGTGGCTACAGGCTGGCTACCAGTGGCTACAGGCTGGCTACCAGTGGCTACAGGCTGGCTACCAGTGGCTACAGGCTGGCTACCAGTGGCTACAGGCTGGCTACCAGTGGCTACAGGCTGGCTACCATTGGCTACAGGCTGGCTACCAGTGGCTACAGGCTGGCTACCAGTGGCTACCAGTGGCTACAGGCTGGCTACCAGTGGCTACAGGCTGGCTACCATTGGCTACAGGCTGGCTACCAATGGCTACAGGCTGGCTACCATTGGCTACAGGCTGGCTACCAGTGGCTACCAGTGGCTACAGGCTGGCTACCAGTGGCTACAGGCTGGCTACCAGTGGCTACAGGCTGGCTACCAGTGGCTACAGGCTGGCTACCAGTGGCTACAGGCTGGCTACCATTGGCTACAGGCTGGCTACCAGTGGCTACAGGCTGGCTACCAGTGGCTACCATTGGCTACAGGCTGGCTACCAGTGGCTACAGGCTGGCTACCATTGGCTACAGGCTGGCTACCATTGGCTACAGGCTGGCTACCAGTGGCTACAGGCTGGTTACCAGTGGCTACAGGCTGGCTACCATTGGCTACAGGCTGGCTACCAGTGGCTACCATTGGCTACAGGCTGGCTACCAGAGGCTACAGGCTGGCTATCAGTGGCTACAGGCTACCAGTTCATCTATAGAAGACCTAACATACGACTATGGTCATGAGAGAAAGTAGCATACATTGAATAGACGACATGACAACGAATCAGTTACAAATGCCATTTAATAGTTGAATATGTACATCTTACGTACGCCAAGGTACAAAACATTAGCATTGTTACGTCATATTTAACAACATAGTCACAAGAATCAGCAGTGACGTCACAACAACAACCAGCAGTGACGTCACAACAGAGAGAGGTGACTGGTGGACTACTGGCCATACAGCAAGTTACTTGATTGTTTCTACTTCATCAACTAAAGCAGACAATACACACTGGCTTAGTGGGGAAATATTGTGAAGCCTACTGACGGCATGCTTACAGTATTTACATCAGCTGACAGGTCAAGCTGCAACAACAAACATTCGACTCCAGGGCTAAACAAGCAGCTGTGGGACCAGCTATGGCAGCTGTGGGACCAGCCATGGTAGCTGTGGGACCAAGACAGTCTGACGCTAAAAGGTTTTAAGCTAGTACAGGTACGCGACTGAATATGGCCACCAGCTAGAATCACATACATGTATGTGTGGTGTCTGTCACCATAAGAATGTTTATGTGAGGGGCCAAGATCCTCACTTCTAACCCACAGCCATGAATGCTTTAGTTAACAAGTTGGAGTTGTCACATGTTTTAAATTGTATCATATCTTCAAGCAATCAAACATTTTAAAAATTGAATTTTACATTTTTGTAAATGAAAACTTTGATCGGAGCCTATTTTATATATTCAACGTGTATAAACCCCTTTTCCGCACCTCAAGCCCCTTGACAGCGCCTCAGCCATAGTCTAGTTACTAGTTAGCCAATAAGTTTGTGTGTAGAGTGGATAATAGTAGGCACATGACAGCTGTCAGAGGACGTGGGTTCTAATCCAAGGGGGTAGAGGTACTGCTACATACATGTGGGAGAGGGGGGTCAGTTTAAATATGGTTAATTTTTTAATGCTAGCGGGTGATGGTGAAGGATGAGAAATACAAGGATTTATAGCGGTTGTGGGGACTTGAACAATAAATAGCGCAGTCACCCTGCAGTCACTCGCCACAGTCATTCGCCGCAGTCACTGGCACACAGCTGTCATCCACTCACCCACATCCATCCAGCGACACTAATGTGATCCATAAACATTTAATCCAGGGCTATATGGTAATCCACAGACATTTCATCCAGATATACGTATGTTCTAAAGTCTGATCAAACTACGAATGAAGACACTTAGAAGTGTCGGACACTTCGATTTGTTGAACACCTGGATGTGTCGGACACTCCGATGTGTCGGAATGATGAGTTTCACCTGCTCATGACGTCACCTGGTCAGGTAACTTCTGCTCATGACGTCAACTGGTCAGGTAACCAGCCGCTCATGACGTCACCTGGTCAGGTAACTTCTGCTCATGACGTCACCTAGTCAGGTAACTTCTGCTCATAACGTCACCTGGTCAGGTAATTTCTGCTCGCTCCAAGTGAGGTCTATCAGCATGTGGGTATGGAGGGGGGGGGGAGGGTGGCAGAAACAGCGAAGCAACAGGGGACAGTAAGGTAGGGCAGTAGGTAGGGAATGAGGGGTGGAGTCAGCGATGTGGGGGCGGAGCGTGGACAATGGGTGGAGGGGTCGAGAGAGTGCAGGGCGAGGCCAGTAGGGGGGGGGGAGACAGTGGAGGGGGGTGGGGGGGGGTCACTCTGGAGAGTCTTCCAACGGCTATGTTGCAGGATGGGGGGGGGGTTGAAGGAGCAGCCCATGAAAGGGTTAAGTCTGTAGCAGGTGGCACAGTCTTAGCTGTCATCTGTTCTCTTGGTGAGTCTGTCTCTTCAACAACTATCGCGTGCTGCTGGTCAATGACCTCAGCACAGAGGCGAGGTACTATCTCACTGACCAGAGAGGCGAGGTACTATCTGACTGACCAGAGAGGCGATGTACTATCTGACTGACCAGAGAGGCAGGTACTGGCTACATATGTACACCTAGTCTTGAGATGGTTCCAGGAATGATGCCGGTGTAGATCTAAGACAGCAGGTTGTCATGACAACTTTCCAGGTTTGATTGAATGCCGGGCCATATAAACAAGAGAAGAGTGGGCCAGCGAACATTGGGCCAGCGAACATTGGGCCAGCGAACATTGGGCCACAACATCGTGTTGAGATGTGGCCACACTTGTCTACTGTAAGTTCGCACGTGCGTCACGTGATCGTGAGCTGTCAACATTGAGCTCACGTTGAAGTAGATCAGATCTAGGTCAGTCACTAAAAGGATTCCACACAGTAGGTTGCTGAACGTCTGCCGGCCGTTGAAAATCTGCCGGCTGCTGAACGTCTGCCGGCCGTTGAAAGTCTGCCGGCTGAATGTCTGCCGGCTGCTGAACGTCTGCCGGCCGTTGAAAGTCTGCCGGCTGCTGAGTGTATGCCGGATGGGCATCACCGCGTGCAGACTATCACAGAACTGATGAGGTTAAAGGTTGCGATGCCTGTACAGCCGCTGGTTCCCCCAGCGCGTTCAGCCCTGGAGGGGCGGCTGAAGGTTGAGGTCACTGGGCTGAAGGTTAAGGTCACTGGGCTGTATGATCTCGGGCTGCAAGTGGTAGATCTTGAAAAAATCGAAGCAGTCGCTGCTGACGTTGGCGTAGCCCAGCAGCCGCCCCCCGCGCTTGTTGAAGCCCAGGCGCCAGCGGGGGTGGACGGCCGACTGGAACTGCTGGAAGGACGGGTGCGAACTCTGGTTCTCCACGAACTTGCACAGTTTGGCGCCGCCTGACACCTGGAATCAGAAACATTAGAGTAGTTGAGCGGATTAGCGCCGGATTATTAACTGGGAATTGAAATCAACACTAGATCTAGGTAATCGCTTTTATTATTTGACACTTTCAACAGTTTCAACGGTGTGACTTGTACAAATTATGTGTACGGTGTGAAGCATAAAGATTCTGTGTAAAACTTTCCGCCCATATCACCAACAGAAATGACGGTAAACTTCCCTTTTGCCAACAAAAGTGGCGGAAAACTTCCCTTTTGCCAACAAAAGTGGCGGCAAATTTCCCTTTCGTCAACAAAATTGGCGGCAAACTTCCCGTTCGCCAACAAAAGTGGCGGCAAACTTCCCGTTCGCCAACAAAAGTGGCGGCAAACTTCCCGTTCGCCAACAAAAGTGGCGGCAAACTTACCGTTCGCCAACAAAAGTGGCGGCAAACTTCCCTTTCGCCAACAAAAGTGGCGGCAAACTTCCCGTTCGCCAACAAAAGTGGCGGCAAACTTCCCTTTCGCCAACAAAAGTGGCGGCAAACTTCCCGTTCGCCAACAAAAGTGGCGGCAAACTTCCCGCCCAGATCGCCAGCACGAGAGGACACGACAGACGACAGGACGTCGCTGCAATAAATCTTTCTAAAATTGTTTTCTTTGGCAAATTGTTGAAATTGTTCTCTCTCCTCCTCGGTGTAGGGCGTGTGTGTTGTGTAGGTGTGGGTTCCTGTGTGTTGCTTATGTTCGTGTGTGTTCGTTATGTTTTATGTTCGTGTGTGTTCGTTATGTCTTATGTTCGTGTGTGTTTGTTATGTTCCTATGTGTTCGTTATGTTCGTGTGTGTTCGTTATGTTCCTGTATACTTTATGTTCGTGTGTTCGTAATGTTCCTGTGTGTTTGTTATGTTTTATGTTTCCGTGTGTTCGTTAAGTTTGTGTTTTCTTTATGTTTTACGTTCCTATGTGTTCGTTATGTTCCTGTGTGTTTGTTATGTTTTATGTTCCCGTGTGTTCGTTATGTTTGTGTTTTCTTTATGTTTTACGTTCCTATGTGTTCGTTATGTTCCCGTGTGTTCGTTATGTTTGTGTTTTCTTTATGTTTTACGTTCCTGTGTGTTCGTTATGTTCCTGTGTGTTCGATATGTTTTATGTGATATATCTAAAGTGTTCATCATCTAAATTAATGATTTAAAAAATTAATATTAAAGGTGTTATAAAACAAAATTCATTTTAAAAACATAGTGTTAATTGACGGCATGTTCATTAAACAAAATTAAAGAAAATGCATCACCCATCACAAAAATTCTAATTGTGTCTGAAAATTATTTTTATTTAGTCCTTTAGCACTAATTGCGTCCCTTGATAAATTAGGAAAACAAACCTTCCCTTTAAAAAACATTACATCGGGGAAAAATTTACTTCTTATTACTTTGTTTAAGTGTTTCGAAAAAATAATTACATAATTAGAGTGGATTGATCAAGTACAATGTGGTAAGTAAAACCAGATATTTTAAATACTGTCTTATTTTTTATTTCATACACAGAACGTACTATTTACTAAATATTATTTGTGATCAATAACGGTTTAGAAGAAGCACATAAATGTCCTCTCTGTTTACTTCTATCTTACCGTTTGCAAATTAGCTTGGGGTATAATAGTCGTTCACTTAATGGAATCGGGCGCTTTCTGCCGGCTCCCCGGCAAGGTTCGATTTGGCGCCCTGGGCTATGCTGTGAGCGCCATGGTGCATAATTTCGTTTTAAACAGTGCGATAGACTATGGATAAGAAAGGTTACTATAGTCTTTGACTGAACGAATCCGGGCATCCTCCGACGCAGAGGCGTAGCCAGGGGAGGGCGGGTGGTGCGGCTGCCCCGGGCGCCGACCTTAAGGGGGTGCCAAAAGGGGTAAAGAAATTAATTTGAAAGCTCATTTTAAGCTGAAGTATCGAATTATACACTGTCAAAGCTTCGAAAAATAAACGACTACAAGGCTTCACACACTGATTTAACAACTTTGTGACACCGAGCTATTTGGCGCCCGAGCCTTCCCGTGTTAGCTGTGGCCAATGTTTTTGTGTTTTTTTTGGTTGGTTTTGGTTAGGGTTAATTCGAAAAGTAATATATCTCCTAAATCCGGGCAATGCCGTGTATATGCTTATTACTAAACACGCAAGTCATGGTCCTTTACTGATAGGTTTTTCACAGAGGTCAATGCAGGGCCTGGCCGTGACGGCTATTATATATATATATATATATATATATATATATATATATATATATATATATATATATATATATATATATATATGCTAATATACAGGTATTTATGTGTATTTTCTGGACACAACTCAAGGTAAAGACAACATTTTGGACACAACTTACCCGGCCAATGATTTTTCCTTTCTGGCTAAAACATATGTATTTCTGGCTAAATTTGGCCTTGATCTTGATCACAGCCCCCCTTCCTTTCATAATCTCAGAGCTAAATTCTAGCAGAGCTGTGGAAAACACCAAGATTCATAAACATACACATACAAGATATCAATCATTGACAGCAGTTGTAAACATACACATACAAGATATCAATCATTGACAGCAGTTGTAAACATACACATACAAGATATCAATCATTGACGACAACTGTATATACACACATACATCTATTTACGCACAAGATGGTGTAATTGAAAGCAGCCCATCCTCCAAAACACCATTTTTCATGCCTGTTCTATTACATGCACATACGCATACAATATACATACATTATATATATATATATATATATATATATAACTATATATATATATAACTATATATATATATATATATATATATATATATATATATATATATATATATATATATATATATATATATATATGTATATGTATAGCTTGTATGAGATGTGTTAAGGAATGAGGCGATTAAAATCTAAGACAGCATTACTGCCTGCCATAAACATTTCCCTGACGTCCCCTGTTTTTGTTGTGACGATCGGAGATTGGCGCGGCGCTTCAAGCGAGCTAACTCACACGGGACTTCACTCATCGGCCCGGCAGTTAGCGCCCCTGCCTCCAGCTACTGTAGGCCCACACACATTAGCACCCCATTTGTCATCCTGCCTGGCGAGATAGGTTTTCGAGCCTATCACAACACATAACCGTGTCATAACTGCGTTTCTCTAGCTTTGATTCGTTTTCAATATCAAACGCGGAAAAACAACTTTTATCGAGCATCTGCTATCGTTTGGTGCCCCCCCCCCCCCCCCCCCCAACTCTAGATGTTACGCTTGGCTGGGTATCAAACTTAAAAACTATTTACAGAAACACCAAGTTTAGAAACAGCTATTTTTAGACACAATGAGCTTAACGCGTTCATGGGATGGTGAGTAGATGATATTGGGAAATATGGGATGATGGGAAATATGGGATGGTGGGATAACGGGAAAAATGGGATGATGGGAAATATGGGATGGTGGGATAACGGGAAATATGGGATGAGGGAATATGGTAAGGTGGGATAACGGGAAATATGGGATGATGGGAAATATGGGATGGTGGGATAACGGGAAATATGGGATGAGGGAATATAGGATGGTGGGATAACGGGAAATATGGGATGGTGGGAAATATGGGATGATGGGAAATATGGGATGGTGGGATAACGGGAAATATGGGATGAGGGAATATGGGATGGTGGGATAACGGGAAATATGGGATGGTGGGAAATTGTGGGAAATATGGGATGGGGGGGGAATATGGGATGGGGGGGAATATGGGATGGGGGAAAGATGGGATGGGGGAAATATTGGATAATGGGAAATATGGAATAATGGGATGAGGGAATATGGGATGGTGGGAATATGGGATGGTGGGGAAATATGGAATAGTGGGAAATTGTGGGAAATATGGGATTGGGGGGGGGAATATGGGATGGGGGAAAGATGGGATGGGGGAAATATTGGATAATGGGAAATATGGGATATTGAGAAACATTAAGACTAACAAGCATGACATATGGTCAGCAATTAGGGTCGAGACATTGCTACTGACCTTGAGGTGATCTGTGGCTATCGACGTCTGCCCGTATTTTCGTCTGGTCACCTCTGGTTCTCATGCCGACCCGCTTCCCACTGCACCGGTTGATCAGCTCGAACTCGCTGACGAAAGTTGTCCCTCCCGTCACAGACTTGAAGGGGTTAGAGGGCACGGAGATCTGGGGAGAGAAAGGTGGATACATGAAGGGGCTAGAGGGCACGGAGGTCTGGGGAGAGAAAGGTGGATACATGAAGGGGTTAGAGGGCACGGAGGTCTGGGGAGAGAAAGGTGGATACATGAAGGGGCTAGAGGGCACGGAGGTCTGGGGAGAGAAAGGTGGATACATGAAGGGGCTAGAGGGCACGGAGGTCTGGGGAGAGAAAGGTGGATACATGAAGGGGCTAGAGGTCTGGGGAGAGAAAGGTGGATACATGAAGGGGCTAGAGGGCACGGAGGTCTGGGGAGAGAAAGGTGGATACATGAAGGGGCTAGAGGTCACGGAGGTCTGGGGAGAGAAAGGTGGATACATGAAGGGGCTAGAGGGCACGGAGGTCTGGGGAGAGAAAGGTGGATACATGAAGGGGCTAGAGGGCACGGAGTTCTGGGGAGAGAAAGGTGGATACATGAAGGGGTTAGAGGGCACGGAAGTCTGGGGAGAGAAAGGTGGATACATGAAGGGGCTAGAGGTCTGGGGAGAGAAAGGTGGATACATGAAGGGGCTAGAGGGCACGGAGGTCTGGGGAGAGAAAGGTGGATACATGAAGGGGCTAGAGGGCACGGAGGTCTGGGGAGAGAAAGGTGGATACATGAAGGGGTTAGAGGGCACGGAGGTCTGGGGAGAGAAAGGTGGATACATGAAGGGGCTAGAGGTCTGGGGAGAGAAAGGTGGATACATGAAGGGGCTAGAGGGCACGGAGGTCTGGGGAGAGAAAGGTGGATACATGAAGGGGCTAGAGGTCTGGGAAGAGAAAGGTGGATACATAAAGGGGCTAGAGGGCACGGAGGTCTGGGGAGAGAAAGGTGGATACATGAAGGGGCTAGAGGGCACGGAGGTCTGGGGAGAGAAAGGTGGATACATGAAGGGGCTAGAGGTCTGGGGAGAGAAAGGTGGATACATGAAGGGGCTAGAGGGCACGGAGGTCTGGGGAGAGAAAGGTGGATACATGAAGGGGCTAGAGGGCACGGAGGTCTGGGGAGAGAAAGGTGGATACATGAAGGGGCTAGAGGTCTGGGGAGAGAAAGGTGGATACATGAAGGGCTAGAGGGCACGGAGGTCTGGGGAGAGAAAGGTGGATACATGAAGGGGCTAGAGGTCTGGGGAGAGAAAGGTGGATACATGAAGGGGCTAGAGGGCACGGAGGTCTGGGGAGAGAAAGGTGGATACATGAAGGGGCTAGAGGGCACGGAGGTCTGGGGAGAGAAAGGTGGATACATGAAGGGGCTAGAGGTCACGGAGGTCTGGGGAGAGAAAGGTGGATACATGAAGGGGTTAGAGGGCACGGAGGTCTGGGGAGAGAAAGGTGGATACATGAAGGGGCTAGAGGGCACGGAGGTCTGGGGAGAGAAAGGTGGATACATGAAGGGGCTAGAGGTCTGGGGAGAGAAAGGTGGATACATGAAGGGGCTAGAGGGAACGGAAGTCTGGGGAGAGAAAGGTGGATACATGAAGGGGTTAGAGGGCACGGAGGTCTGGGGAGAGAAAGGTGGTTACATGAAGGGGCTAGAGGTCACGGAGATCTGGGGAGAGAAAGGTGGATACATGAAGGGGCTAGAGGGCACGGAGATCTGGGGAGAGAAAGGTGGATACATGAAGGGGCTAGAGGGCCTACGGAGGTCTGGGGAGAGAAAGGTGGATACATGATGGGGTTAGAGGGCACGGAGGTCTAGGGAGAGAAAGGTGGATACATGATGGGGTTAGAGGGCACGGAGGTCTAGGGAGAGAAAGGTGGATACATGAAGGGGCTAGAGGTCTGGGGAGAGAAAGGTGGATACATGAAGGGGCTAGAGGGCACGGAGGTCTGGGGAGAGAAAGGTGGATACATGAAGGGGCTAGAGGTCTGGGGAGAGAAAGGTGGATACATGAAGGGGTTAGAGGGCACGGAGGTCTGGGGAGAGAAAGGTGGATACATGATGGGGTTAGAGGGCACGGAGGTCTAGGGAGAGAAAGGTGGATACATGAAGGGGCTAGAGGTCTGGGGAGAGAAAGGTGGATACATGAAGGGGCTAGAGGGCACGGAGGTCTGGGGAGAGAAAGGTGGATACATGAAGGGGCTAGAGGTCTGGGGAGAGAAAGGTGGATACATGAAGGGGCTAGAGGGAACGGAAGTCTGGAGAGAGAAAGGTGGATACATGAAGGGGTTAGAGGGCACGGAGGTCTGGGGAGAGAAAGGTGGATACATGAAGGGGCTAGAGGGCACGGAGGTCTGGGGAGAGAAAGGTGGATACATGAAGGGGCTAGAGGTCTGGGGAGAGAAAGGTGGATACATGAAGGGGCTAGAGGGCACGGAGGTCTGGGGAGAGAAAGGTGGATACATGAAGGGGCTAGAGGTCTGGGAAGAGAAAGGTGGATACATGAAGGGGCTAGAGGGCACGGAGGTCTGGGGAGAGAAAGGTGGATACATGAAGGGGCTAGAGGGCACGGAGGTCTGGGGAGAGAAAGGTGGATACATGAAGGGGTTAGAGGGCACGGAGGTCTGGGGAGAGAAAGGTGGATACATGAAGGGGTTAGAGGGCACGGAGGTCTGGGGAGAGAAAGGTGGATACATGAAGGGGCTAGAGGTCTGGGGAGAGAAAGGTGGATACATGAAGGGGCTAGAGGTCTGGGGAGAGAAAGGTGGATACATGAAGGGGCTAGAGGGCACGGAGGTCTGGGGAGAGAAAGGTGGATACATGAAGGGGCTAGAGGGCACGGAGGTCTGGGGAGAGAAAGGTGGATACATGAAGGGGCTAGAGGGCACGGAGGTCTGGGGAGAGAAAGGTGGATACATGAAGGGGCTAGAGGTCTGGGGAGAGAAAGGTGGATACATGAAGGGGCTAGAGGGCACGGAGGTCTGGGGAGAGAAAGGTGGATACATGAAGGGGCTAGAGGGCACGGAGGTCTGGGGAGAGAAAGGTGGATACATGAAGGGGCTAGAGGGCACGGAGGTCTGGGGAGAGAAAGGTGGATACATGAAGGGGCTAGAGGGCACGGAGGTCTGGGGAGAGAAAGGTGGATACATGAAGGGGCTAGAGGGCACGGAGGTCTGGGGAGAGAAAGGTGGATACATGAAGGGGTTAGAGGGCACGGAGGTCTGGGGAGAGAAAGGTGGATACATGAAGGGGTTAGAGGTCTGGGGAGAGAAAGGTGGATACATGAAGGGGCTAGAGGTCTGGGGAGAGAAAGGTGGATACATGAAGGGGCTAGAGGTCTGGGGAGAGAAAGGTGGATACATGAAGGGGCTAGAGGGCACGGAGGTCTGGGGAGAGAAAGGTGGATACATGAAGGGGCTAGAGGTCTGGGGAGAGAAAGGTGGATACATGAAGGGGCTAGAGGGAACGGAGGTCTGGGGAGAGAAAGGTGGATACATGAAGGGGCTACTGGGCCTACGGAGGTCTGGGGAGAGAAAGGTGGATACATGAAGGGGCTAGAGGGCACGGAGGTCTGGGGAGAGAAAGGTGGATACATGAAGGGGCTACTGGGCCTACGGAGGTCTGGGGAGAGAAAGGTGGATACATGAAGGGGCTAGAGGGCACGGAGGTCTGGGGAGAGAAAAGTGGATACATGAAGGGGCTAGAGGTCTGGGGAGAGAAAGGTGGATACATGAAAGGGCTAAGAGCACGGAGGTCTGCACCTATGCAAAGATCTACTTTATCTAGCCCTACACCTATATAAAGATATACTTTCCATAACCCTACACCAATGTAAAGATCTACTTTCCCTAGCCCTACACCTATAAAAAGATCTACTTTCCCTAGCCCACACCTATGTAAAGATCTACTTTCCCTAGCCCACACCTATGTAAAGATCTACTTTCTCTAGCCCTACACCTATGTCAAGATCTACTTTCCCTAGCCCTACAGTGTAAAGAACTACTTTCCCTAGCCATACACCTGTGTAAAGATCTACTTTCAATACCCCTACACCAATGTAAAGAACTACTTTCCCTAGCTCTACACATGTGTAAAGATCTGCTTTCCCTAACCCTACACCTGTGTAAAGATCTACTTTCCCTAGCCCTACAGTGTAAAGATCTATTTTCCCTAGCCCTACACCTGTGTAAAGAACTACTTTCCCTAGCCCTACAGTGTAAGCTCTACTTTCCCTAGCCCTACACTTGTGTAAAGATCTACTTTCCCTAGCTCTACAGCTGTGTAAAGATCTACTTTCCCTAGCCCTACACCTGTGTAAAGATCTACTTTCGCTAGCACTACACCTGTGTAAAGATCTACTTTCCCTAGCTCTACACCTGTGTAAAGATCTACTTTCCCTAGCCCTACACCTGTGTAAAGATCTACTTTCCCTAGCCCTACACCTGTGTAAAGATCCACTTTCCCTAGCCCTACAGTGTAAGCTCTACTTTCCCTAGTCGTAGACTCGGCAAGAAAAAATCCACTGGAGACGACACGTCGCATGGTCCCAGCCATCCAAACATGGAGGGGACAGAAAGCTAAGCAGACGAGCTGACTCGAGGGCTAGAAATACAATCTTTTGTTGTTCTATACCCGTCCCCCAGCTCCCCACCCCACCCACAGAACACACCGCCCAGGTGAGGCCTGGTGTCGAGGTGGGATTTCTAGGCAAGTGGTTATTGGAATGGTGGGATTTCTAGGCAAGTGGTTATCGGAATGGTGGGATTTCTAGGCAAGTGGTTATCGGAATTGTGGGATTTCTAGGCAAGTGGTTATCGGAATTGTGGGATTTCTAAGCAAGTGGTTATCGGAATGGTGGGATTTCTAGGCAAGTGGTTATCGGAATGGTGGGATTTCTAGGCAAGTGGTTATCGGAATTGTGGGATTTCTAGGCAAGTGGTTATCGGAATGGTGGGATTTCTAAGCAAGTGGTTATCGGAATGGTGGGATTTCTAGGCAAGTGGTTATCGGAATGGTGGGATTTCTAGGCAAGTGGTTATCGGAATTGTGGGATTTCTAGGCAAGTGGTTATCGGAATTGTGGGATTTCTAGGCAAGTGGTTATCGGAAT